AGTTGACTTCAAAATTAACAAATAGTTTTCATTGTTTGAAATTATTAAGTACGTAGTAGTTAGATTTTTACAGAATAATGTACATTTTTAAGTATATATAATTGAAGTTTCTAGAATGTAGCCTTTTTTGATTAAACTAATGTGGACTTCCAACACAAAAAGGATCCCCATCCCCTAACTACACCTTGGAGAACCACAGGGTGTCTCTGTAAAAGGGTGTTAGAAAGGACTATAGGGGTTGGGTTTGTGTTAGGTATTTTGGAGAGGATTTCAGGAAGCAGAGCTTTGCTCTGGAGTGGGTGCTGTCAGGCAGCTGGAGCAAGTCTATTTTTCTTGCTTGAACAATGTGCATGTTTAGACATGATTATGGAGCTGTCTTGTTTACCTCTTGATCTATCCTAGCCACAGAGTGGTCTTGTTTGATGTCGATGTCAGGTTTAACCAAGACTTATCTGTGAGTGCTGGGTCTGCTTGCAGCTACACAGAGATCTGGCTGTGAGTACCAGGCCAACTCCCAGGGTCAGGAACTGCTTTTCTTGTTACCTCAGTAAAGTGATTTTTAAAACTTCAGTCGAAAACATGCAGAAATTTCAAAGCTTCTTCAGAATACAACCTAAGACCATATGCTAAGCTGTTGATGCTTCGTGTTAGCTGTGCAGATCCACATACAGTATTTGCTGCTCTGACACCAGGCACTAAACTCCTGCTGCTTCACAGCTACCCATTTGAAATTGCCTAGTAATGATCAATGTTTTTCTTGATGATGTGTGCACTGCAGAAAATTCACCCCTTGTCTGGCTTTCATCTATATTATAACTCTTGGTGGTCTTTTAAGACCAAAATATATTTAATTTAGTTCCTTAGTCCCTTGAGAGTAAACTGGTATACACTTTATATTCTCATTACCAGAAGGAATCCTTAATGACTATTAATGTAGCCAGTAAAGTTTCCTGCTGAATAACTAAATGTGTAACACAAAAGCCTGCAGATATCTGTGATGTTTTCCTTTTGAAATCCCACTACCTTGTGTGCTTTTATTTTGGCTCATTGCAAGAATTCTCATTCTTTAGATGAGGTATTCAAATTCTGCTTGTCATTCATGAAACAAAGTTCTTTCCACATTTTTTTAAATGAGGAAACCACAGTCTTGAACATTTTGTTGACTTGGTAATTGAAAATATATTTCAGAAATTTCCTACTGTTTCCCAAAAAAGTTCAAAAGTATGTATCAATTTCTATTTCAAACCTGATAGAGAAATATTTTAGTAGGATATCTAATATGAAGATTCAGTGTTTGCTGAATATGATATGAACTGTAGCTTTTAAAATATTCTTTTTAATTGTTTGGAAGCAAAAGATAAATTTTGGTAGGGGGAAGAATTTGATAATATACAGTGTAATGGAAAATATAAGCTAATCAAAAACATGACAAGATAAGAGAGAAAAATACACAAGAAAGAAAAAGCTTTATAGCTTATTACCTTTAATGTCATTAATTCCCTGCTTTCTGAACAAGGGGATTCCTATTTCATTGGGGAAAAGTGAAGGAGCAGAGTGAGAGAACTTACCTGCTAATCCAGGGAATTGCCCATGTTTTACCCAAGCCCACCAACAAGGTTCCACTGGGAGCTGCAAGAGTCTCAGCATTACTGGGCTTGGGGCACCCCCCTTATTGCTGATATGGCTGCTGTGACCAAAGGCTTAGATCACAACACTCAATCCAACACTCAATATGTTAGGCTAAAAAAATTTTTAAAAACTGAAATCATATCAAGTATCTTCTTAGACCACAATGTAATAAAACTAGATATCAAAAACCAGGGGAACTTTGGAAACCATATAAACACATGGATATTGAACAATTTGTTCTTGAATGATAATTGGATCAACAAATAAATTAAGAAGGAAATTAAAAATTTTTTTCAAACAAATGAAAATGGAAACACAGCATACCAAAACCTATAGGACACAACAGAAACAGTGATAAGGGGGAAGTTTATAGAAATAAATGCCTACATAAGAAAAGTAGAAAATTTTGAGCTAAACAACCTAATGATACATCTTAAAGAACCAGAAAAGAAGAGCAAACTGAACTCAAAATTAGTAGAAGAAAAGAAATAGTAGAGCATAAATAAATAAAATTGAACAAAAAAATACAAAAGATCAACAAAATGAAAGCTTGGTTTTTTTAACAAGATAAACCAAATTGACAAATCTTTAGCAACACTAAGGAAAAAAGAGAAAAGGCCCAAATAAAGTCAGAGATGAAAAACACATTACAACTGATGCCACAGAAATTCAAAGAATTATTAGAGAGTAGAATGAGCAATTACATGCCAGTAAACTGGAAAACCTAGAAGAAATAGATAAATTCCTACAGATATACAGCCTACAAATATTGAACCATGAAGATATCCAAAACCTGAATAGACCAATAACAACTAATAAAATAGAAGCAGTAATAAAAGGTCTTCCAGCTAAGAAAAGCCCATTGGCTTCACTGCTGAATTCTACCGACATTTAAAGAAGAACGAATACCCATCTTACTCAAACTATCCCAAAAAAGTGAGGAAGAGGAAATACTTCCAAATGCATTCTATGAGGCCAACATTACACTTATACCAAAATCAGACAAAGACAGAGGGAAAAAAAAGAAAATTACAGACCAATATCTCTGATAAACACAGATGCAACCCCCCCCCCCAAAATACTAGCAAACTAAATCCAACAACACTTTAAAAAGATCATTCATCATGATCAAGTTGAATTCCTCCCAGTGATGCAAGGATGGTTCAACATATGCAAATCAATCAATGTGATACATCATCTCAACAGAACGAAAAAACAAAAACTATATGATTTTTCCGATTGATGCCAAAAAAGCATTCAGTAAAATTCAACAACCCTTTATGATAAAAAGGATAACCCAACTTGATGTGTAGACAGACTATAACCTACTCTTGTATTAATAACAAGAAGCTGAGTCTCAGCCAACCAACCACAGCAGCCAAACTTCAGTCAACCATAGGTAGCCAACTGTTCAAACCAGGTTCAAATAAGGCCAAGCTGTAATCAATACAGCTATTTCTGTATCTCATTTCCATTTCTGTACATCACTTTCATTTTTCAGTCCATAAATGTTATCTGCCCATGTCACAGCCCTGAGGCACTCTGAACCTATTTTGATTCTGGGGGCTGCCCAATACATGAATCATTCTTTGCTCAATTAAATTCTATTAAATTTAATTTGACTAAAGGTCCTCTTTTTAGCAACACCTAAAAGGATAAATTTGGACCCCTACCTCACACCATATACAAAAGTTAACTCAAAATGGATGACATACCTAAGTGTAAGAGTTAAGATGAAAAACTCAGAAGAAAGCTTATGACTTCTATGACCTTAGGATAGAATATAGTTTCTTAGAAAAGCACAAGAAATTGTTTTTTCTTCCTGCCTGAATTAAAATCTTTGTGTCTCTCAGGAATTAAGGCAAGAGATTATGAATAAACACTCAACTATGACATCCAAGAACAGCCTCCAACTCAAGTCATCTCCCCAGGAATGTTTTATAATGTACAGGTATTAAAAGTAACAGCATGAAATTAAAGAAGTGTAGAACAGGGTAGCAAGATCTGTTGACAAGTTGTCCTTTTCTAGTATCTGTAGGTATTTATTTATGTTCTTTTGTCCACATCTTTTTCATATATAACAGGAATTTTAGTAGTAAAAACTCTAGCTTTTTTAACACATTAGATTCCTTCAAAGCATCCTTTGTTAATATACTGTTTTATAGTGCATTGCTGAGAAGGCAAGCCCCAAAAGTATTAATATTTAAACTTTGCCCCCATCCTGAAAGATATTTATTTCCTCTTTCATTTCTCCCTTTTTATCTGTAATGCCTCTGGTACTTTATAAAAAATGTGTGAATATAATCTTTGACTTTATTCTTTTCACATTTCATGCTTGTGTCTCAGACTCTTGACACATGCAATCACTTGTGCAGTCAGATCTTGATGACAAACCTCTCATTCTGTGTGTTTCCTGTTTTTGCTTTAATTGCATGTGTGCTGAACTGGGTGTTATAAAAATGCCTGTGTATTTTTCATCTCTTATTTTTCCCCGTCTACTTTCAATTCATTCATTTAAAAAATAATTTGTAGAATATAAGAGTAGCCTACAAACTACTCTTATTTTAATCCATTCAACTTTTTTTCCCTAAAAATAGTTCCAATTCTATTGATCAGCTTGCCATTGAATCCATAGCTGATCATTTTCAAATAATTCTTACCAATTGTTCAGTAATTGGGTTGAATAACCCAGGACAATTTTCCAGCACCATCTAATTTTCTGCTGTTAATTTTCTGACTACCACCTCTTTAAAATCATCTCCTGGTTCCTCTTCTCAGTGTTGTCATACTCTCTGGTAGGAAAATCTACTTGTGTTGATCGTAGGAGGAAAAAGTTGAAAGCAAATATTTGCCAATTCTTTGTTAGCATTTTCTCAGCCTTTCTTATGTTTTTCAGGAATTTGCCTGTTGTCAGCCTTTCTATTTGCTGCTGCTTGGTTCCTCTTTTGATATTTTTTCTTTGGGTTCAGAGCTGTAGGTTTTGAGTCTATCTCATAATAATTTCAATTTTTGTTTGTAACTTAACCTCGCCCTTCCGACCTGATTGAGAACCCTGGAATCCAGAAAATCCTGGCTCTACTCCCCCTGGGTCTACTCCCTGCTGCTTCAGAAATTGGCCCCAGGCTGACACCACTGAGACCAGTCTCCACGTTCAGCATGAGTCTGAAAGTCAGTATGACAGGGGTGGTGGAGGTGCAGATGAGGTGGCCTTTGGCGGTTGTTGAGGCAGGGCAATTCCTGCTACCCCAGGAAAAATAACACAGCCGCTAGCTAGAGAATTAGGCTCCAACTTGAGGACACCAAGGAAGGTAATGACAATATGAAAAATCCCCTTTGAGAAAGGAGGGTTAACAGATTCTCTTGTCTTTTAGTCATAAGTGCACATTGGTGCCAAGGCACAGACTTACGGTCCAAGTGGAGAAGCTGTTGGCACCCGCCCAACTGACAATCGGAAAGAGTGGTGACGAAACGGCACACTGGTTGTTTGGTTGAAAACACTTTTGATTTCTAACTCCCACTGGGAAATTGTACAAAGGTAAGCTATCCCAAATGCTCCGAGTAGTGAAATCTGAAGCTATGTTTAGCTCAGTCTGTAGTTATAAAATTTGTCAGAATGACGGTAATATTTCATATACGATTGCACACTCAAAAGTGATGCCCTTGTATTTTCCCATGCTCTCTCCACCACATTTACCCCTACACACGCATGCACACGGGCACACACGCACTCATACACACATGCACACGCACACACACATGCATGCACGCACACACACACACGCACACACGCATACTCCACATATTTAATAATTTTCTTTATTGGTGGCCATAAGGCTGCTACAAGATTGGGGCTCCAGGTTTCCTTCCCAGTCTTGCGTGTGACGACAAATCTAAGTACCACTCTCAGGCCCAGGAAAACTTGGCTCTCGTTCAGGTCTTGTGCCTGAGGACCCCTGCCACCAACGCATTGGAGGATTTTTCTCAAAGAAAGTCCTTCTCCAGTGCCTGGGAGTGGCCAGGGCCTCCAAGCAAGGCACTTGGTCCTGTGTGGGTCCTGGTCACGCGGCGTGTCTTTCTAGAAATTTCCTAAGGTCCCTTCCAGTGTCCCAGGACAGTGTGTGTTCCTTTTCCTGATTTTCCCTTTTGAGGTGCTCTCTAGCCCTGTACACCTCTCCCTCTTGCCCCAAGCAGATCGTTCCTATTGCCCAGCGCAATGTTTCTTTTGCGGAGTTGTGTAAGATTGTCCTGTCAGAATAGCAGTTGATTTGGGGTAAGTCACATTGGGAGTGAGGAGTGGGCTTTGGACTACCAACAGTCCACTGCCCACCTTTGCACTTGGACTCACCTGTTTGGGCCCATCTGTCGAGTCCCGACTGACTGCAGGCGCTTTTATTCTATAGCCCCAAGGCAGTGGTCGGTATCAGTAGGTAACCTTTACCCCAGGCCCTCCCTGCCCCACAGCTGGCACCCAGGGCAGTCACCCTCTGCCCTCTGCAGACTCCACACACATCAGGCAGTGTTCTGAGGATGGCTGCACCTGTCTTCTCTGCAGGTTTTTAACACCTTGTCCATAAGCCAACAGTCCCTCCAACTGATGTCCTCTCTTGCTTCTGATTGACATAGTGACCCCAGAAAGCCTGAAGCTGTTCCAGACAAGGCATGGACATTCCTTGGGCAGAGGATACTGCTCTTCTATCCTCCCTGCTGTTGCTGGTGAGTGGAAGGCAGGGTTTGATCAGCACTGAAAGAGATCATGCTCTAGGAATGCACCCAGCCTGGCGGCCAGCAGAGATTGACAGAAGACACAGCTGGAAGATGTGTTGTTCTATGTTTATGCTATAAAAATTACAAGCAATACATTTAACATGACCAGAAAAAGAATTTTAACTCAGATTTTCCTACAGGTAAGACTTGCATTTGTGGTCATCATAACAGAGTATGATAATAACCTGGGCGAGAGACACTGCACACCAGGAATCACAGGTGACACAGTGGGTGATGCAGTATCAGGAGTGGTGACATGCCCAGAATTAAATACTTGGCACCAGGGAACTGCAGGAGCAGGAGGGGCGATACTGCCCTAACAGAAACTGGGCCCAAGGAGCTGTGGCATTGTGTGTAATAATAGCATTGGTACTTCTTTCTTGTGATTGGCACATTCAACAGGAATGGCACATCTAACAATAAAGAACCTGGCAATTAAGAGATGGTTATTAGACTTGTGCAAGAAGAAATGGTGGCTGGACACTATGAAGAATCGTTATATATACTAATTGGACAGTGAACAACTAGGTAAGTACCTGTTTTCTATCCATCATTCTAAATCTCCATTAATAAACCACTATACCTCATATGAGGTCGTGAGCTTTGTAATCCATTTAAAAAAATCAAATTGTTTATATAAATAGGGGTCCTGCCTTTGTACACTGAGCCTAAACAGGCCAGTATGAAGATGAGAGATCTGTTCCACGCCCTGTGGTTTTCCCGTTCTCTCTGAATTCATCATTCCTCTTAAAACATTGTCTATTGTCCACCCCCAGTCAACAGACAAACAAATAAAAATCAGAACGGTAACAAGGAATTGGCTCTTCTCGGAATTGAAAGGGAGCTGGGAGCAAGACGGATGATCTGCAGGGACTCCCGCCGCAAATTATAGCAGAATGCCTGCAATTAATTAGAGGAAGAAACTGTATGTTTGTAACAGTAGCATAGAAAGAAGCATCTCGTGCTATTCTCGCTCAGTAGTCCACGTGGACAGTGTGATAGAATTCTTTAATGTAGTCTTGGTCATGAACTTTCTCCCCTGTATAAGAATGCTTCCAAGTCCTTCTACCAAAATAAAGAAAAATCTTCACACTTGTACAATTCTTGCTATTAACTTTTCCCTGATGGCAAGAGTCAGGGCAGTGGAGTTCTGATTTATGAATCCTGGGTCTGCTTTAGGGATAAATTTTAATAGAACGCTCAAGCTTCAATTTTAAATGGAAGTTAATTAAATAAATAACTAAATACATTTAATTCAATTAAATAAAACAAAACTATTTATAAAATGAGAATGACAAAATAAGACACAGACTCAAGGAGACTGATGATTTGTTTATTCTTTTTTAGACTTTTCAGACACTGAATAAAATTAAGATATTTAACAGCTTATTATTTTAGTAGCAAATTTGCAAATGGATCGTAAAAACAAATGCATTTCTTTTTCACTTAAAAGAATGGAGTTTAGTGGGTTTCTAGCCCTAAAAATGCTAATGTATTTTATTTTGAAATATGAAAAAATCTTTATTTTCATGAGGTCCATAGCTTCCCACCTCTGTGCTATAAATATGTCTGGGAGCAACACCCCTCTTTAGGGTCTTTTTTTTTTTTTAGACAGAGTCTCACTGTGTTGTCCAGCTAGAGCGCAGTGGCGATCGTTTTAGCTTACTGCGACCTCAAAGTCCTGGGCTCAAGCGAGCCTCCTGCCTCAGCCTCCTGAGTAACTGGGACTACAAGCACGCACCACAACACCTGACTAATATTTCTATTTTTAGTAGAGACGGGTCTCACTCTTGCTCAGGCTGGTCTCAAACTCCTGAGCTCAAGCGATCCTCCTGCCTCGGCCTCCCAGAGTGCTAGGATTACAGGCGTGAGCCACTGCGCCCGGCCTTCTTTAAGGTCTTAAGCCCTTGATTCTCATTCCTATGATTTCCCTTCTTTCCCAGGACTTTGTGCCATCAGTCAGATCCTGCTTTTCATATTCAGTTTCTAGCTACTGAGTCTGTAATGGTTAGTTTTACGTGTCAACTTGACTGGACCAGGGAGTGCCCAGACATTGAGCTGAACATCGTTCTGGGTGTATCCGTGAGGATGTTTCCGGGTGAGATTAGCCTTTGACTCCGTGGACTGAGCAAAGCAGATGACTTCTCTAATATGGGTGGGCCTCCTCTCATCAGTTGAAGGTCTGAATAGATGAAAAAGACAGAAAACAGGGAACTCCCCCTGCCTGAGGGCCTTCAAGCTGGGGCATCGCTTTTCTTCCCTGCCTGCAGACTCAAGTCGGCCTGGCCTGGGTCTCCAGCCTGCAGGCCTTCGGGCTGGAGCTACCTCACTGGCTCTCTGGAGACTCAGGTTGCAAACTGACCCTGCACATCTTGGGACTTGTCAGCCTCCACAATGTCATGAGCCAATTCCTCATAACGCATCTCTTCAATTTATCCAACACAGGGTCCTTTTCTGTCTTTAAAAAAAAAATAAAGATGTTCGAGTGAGTCTTGCTGCCTCTTAGGAAAACAAAGCAAAATAAAAAACAAAAACAAGAACAAATTCATCATTTCGCTGGACCCCAGTACCATCTCATTTTGAAATAATCTCAAAAATGAGATTTTCATCTCAAAATTTTCATCTCAATTTTCATCCCCAAAATGAAATAATCTTCATTTTTTTCCTTTGGGCTCTCTGTCTTAGGTATCAGCGGTCTGTGGCCACAGTCCCAATCCTTAATTGCTGGTTTTTGATAACCTCACAAACTCAGCTTCCCCCCATTCCATGGAAACTATAGCCCTGAGGAAATTAGCGGCTTCTTGATTGCAAAGTTCTGTGTCCCTTTTTCAGTCCTTATTCTTTTGGCCTCTTTTGTGTTGACAGTGCTAGTAAAATGTAAGTTTCATTTTAAAGTAGTTTAAAAGTTCAGGAAAGTGAAGAAAATGTAAAACCTCACTTGTATCCTCAATACTCAGAGATATTCACAGTTGGTATTTTTATTCATATTCTTGTGATACTTTTCCCATAATATATACAGTTTTAAATCAAGATTGGGACCACGCTACATATTCTTTGATCACCTGTTTTGAATGTGTGTGTGTGTGTGTGTGTGTGTGTTTTAAAGAGACAAGGTCTCGATATGTTGCCCGGGCTGGACATTGTAACAAATGGACCTAGAGCAATTGGACATCCACAGGCAAAAAAAAAAAAAAAAAATCTTGATATACTCTTGATCATACCTCTTCCAAAAATTAGCACAACATGTATCATGGACTTAAATGTAAAACTGTAAAATTTAGAAAGAAAAACAATGGGAGAAAATATTCTAGCTCTAGGGATAGGATAGAGTTCTTAGACTTAAAACCAAAAGTATGATTCCTTAAAAGAAAAATTGAGTAATTGGACTTCATCAAAATTTAAAACTTTTTCTCTGTATGAGACCTTGATAAAAGAATAAAAATACAAGCCATGGACTGCAAAAAATATTTTCAAACCATATATCTAGCAAAGGATTAGTATCTCTTCCTAGTTGGTTAGAGTTTGATTAAAAAATGGGTGTTACAGAGTATCAAAAGACTTTTTTCTTCATCTAAGATAATTGCATGATTTTTTCTCTTTTTTTTTTCCTGTTAATGTAAAAATTACATTGATTTTAAAATATCATACCATGTCTGCAATCTTGGAATAAACCAATTTGGTTGTGATTTTTTTTATAGAGTACTGTATTTGACTAGCTGATAATTTGTTTAAGATTTTTGCAATAATGTCAATAAAGGTAATTGCATATAATTTTATTTTCAAGTCCTTGTTAGGTTTTTAAAATTCCAGTTTGTATTGTTTTCTTATCAGGACTATTAATGTCAAACAAGCTAACCCATGACCATCAGAAGCAGAGAATAAGTAGTCGTCATGATTACTTAAAAAAAACTAATACATCCACATATCCTTAGATATGTCTCTTTTTAACCTTCAAATCATTATCATTCAAAAATGAATTTCATGGCATAATTTTTCCTCTTCTAATAGAAAAGTATTCAATTATGAAAGTGTCATTTTTATTCTAATAATTGCATTTTAACTTTTATCACGGTGATTTCAAAGGTACTACCTCATTCAATGTATGAGTTGAAGACAAAAGTCAGCAGGGTGTTGCCCTCTAAATTGCCTGCTTTAGTAAAGAATATTTATCAAAAGTATTTATCAAAATGAAAAACCAAAATTAATTTGTCTTAATTTTGATCTTTTATGCCAAAAAGCACTATTTAATTAGAGACTTAGAACGCCGTAACACCCACACTGTTGCTATCATAAAACAGTACTACTGAAACAAAAGACAAAAAAGCACGAGGAGGGAAGAAATCCAAGTGTGCAACACTCTCACCAAAGAAAATGTCAATGAGGAACCTCCTAGAAGACGGGGCACTCACTAGCAGGTGATGGAGGAAGGAAAGATAAAGGGGAAATTCGTGCTGTTATTAATCTGCTGGTAAATGTCCCAAATGCTGACAATGTGCTGTGTATATTGGGGCTCTCTCATGAATTTCATTGTCTAGTTACATTTTGGAGCAGAAATTCTCTCATATTCGATAGCATAGCAAAGCCCAAATTTTAGCTGAGAACCAAGGTACTATGATATTTCCCTGTCTCAGCTCCCAGTTTTTCTGTTATTTAATTATCTAATTGCAGTGAGCTTTTTTCCACCATAAGCAGAAGACTGTCAGGGTCCGAATACCACGAGGCTCTGATTGCTGGCAATCTGTGCTCTCTCAACAGCACCAATGAGTGCCGGCCAGGCTGGGCTGGCTTCTTGCGAAATGAGAACAGCACTTGTTCATCAAGGCCAGGCCAGCACAATCTCCTCAGATCATCCGCAAAACCTTTTATTAGAAAGTTAAAAATTGCCTGAAATCTGCTATCTGCGTCTTCCTCAGATAGGTGAGGCATTTATTAGCTGCCAAGATCTACTTATCTGGGAATCACTGGCCTTTTGAAAAAGAAAACAAATGCAGGAAATGGCTATGGCTCAACTTAAGTCTTAGAAACTAAACCCACCAGATGAGGCAGAACTGACCCATTTCACTTATCAGCCTGGCCTAGTCTCCTTATCCCAAAGAAATCCTTCATGTTCAGGTGATGCCACTACAAATAAAGAGTCGATGCTACCAGCTAAAAAGCCCACAGCACAGTGACATCCACGCCGCTCGGTGGCTTAGGGCAGAGGTCCTCATTATTACAGGTCTAATTGCCTTTTGAAGCCAGAAAACATGCCTTCAATGGTTTTTAATTCACATTCAAAAAATTCTAAATTCATAAAGTAGGTAAAAATCAAGTGGATGATTCTTTGCCTTACAAAGACATTAAGCCTTAGATTTATTTTAAATGGTTAAATTTGCTTTTTGGTTCTGGATTGCCTTAAAGATGTTAGTTAACCACTTCAGGGGAAGTCACACGGCCACTGCAGCTTACAGGGGCTGGGGAGTCGGGGAAGTCACTGCCAAGGGAAAGTTAAATGACATGAGGACAGAGCAGGTGCAAAATCAGCAGTATATATGCGACGATGAAATCACAATACATAATAATGTTAACAATGAACCTTCCTAAAACATAGTCTGATCCTGTGTCCCTTTGGTCTAAAACATATCAGTAGCTCCCATGAGTTACAGAATTTGGCAGAAGTCCCCTTAGCCTGGCATGGGGTTCCTTCATTACCGGCGGCTGGCGTTTTGAGCCATGTCTTCCATTGCTTTCTCACCCCTCCGCACTCTGACTTGTGGCTCCCTCTAATTGCAGCATGGTTTTGTGGCTCTGGCCATTAAGCAACCTCTCAGCTCCACCTGGACTGCCTCTCCTAACTTTCCTCCCTCTCTCACCTCTCTCTCTTCCCACCTTCCCCGCCAAAGTACATCTTGTCCTCCTGGTAAACTCCTACACATCCCTCAAGATCCAGCTCAAGAATTGGCTTTTCCATAAGGCTTTCATTCTCCTCCCAAATCTGATGCACTGTTGTAGCCAGGGCCCGAGGGTCTGTCTTTTTGTAGATGCCTGATAAATGTTTGCTGAATTAACCTAAAAAGGCACACAACTGAATCAACTAGGATGATTGTATAAACTCACATACTCCTGAATTTAAAATTCTCATAGCTACATATCTTGATATGAAGTATAATTTAGAGCCTTC